GTCGTTCGGCACGCTGCATTGAGCAGCCGCGTTCAGTTTTAAATGTTTTAAAATAAAAATAAAAATTTTCTTCTTTTACTGAACTAAATGATTTTTATTACTATAAAAAATCAAACCGACGGTGGGGGTCGTTGCCGGGGTGGGCAAGTGACGTAACCGGTGTTGCGGCTTAACACCAGTATCACCGTCAGCACCGTCTATCGCAGCAAGCCTAACTGCCATTCATCCATAGCTTTCAGACACTTTAAAGAGTTTTGTTTTTAAAGGAATAGTTCACTCAAAAATTTTGTTTTGCTTTGAAGAATATCCAAGCCATACTTTCAATATAATGACGTTAAATGAGGTCTAGTGCTGTCAAGCTTCAAAATGATAGAAAAGTAACATAAAAAAGTCCATACAACTTTTGAAGAATTCAGAAGCCATGTGAACATATTCAATCAAGTTATTATTCACAGATAATAAATGCCTGATTCACGATGAATAATTTATCATTTTTATTCTTATCGTTTTTTTCAAAAGCAGAATTGGTTGATTTAGTTCACAAAACTGACCTAAATGGTTAATGAATTGGACAGATCTAGTTTTTGCCTTCAACTCACTGATTGAGTGATTTATCACGAATCAGACTGATCTGGTTCTTGAGTTCAACTCACTGATTGTTATTCATCACAAATCTGACTGATCCAGTTCTTGAGTTCAACTCACTGATTCTTTGATTCAACACGAATCTGACTGATCCAGTTCTTGAGTTCAGCTCACTGATTCTTTGATTCAACTCGAATCTGACTGATCCAGTTCTTGAGTTCAACTCACTGATTGTTATTCATCACAAATCTGACTGATCCGGTTCTTGAGTTTCAGTGACTTAAATGTTTCAGTGACTTAAAAATGTTTCTCACACAAAGCTGTCATTTGACTTTTGAATATCTAGAATGTATAACACGAGTCATATGATGTTTTTATGGTACTTTTGCATTTTTGAAGCTTGAAATCTCTAGTCCCCATTCCTTGCAGTTAAATGGAAAAAACAAACGTGATCAGTAAATGATTCAAAATGTTCAGTTTTAGTTGAGTTAATCCTCTGAAGGTTTCCAGTGGCATTTGTAGTTACACCCAAAACTAACCCTTTGTTAGTTGATAGATCTCTTTTCCAAAAGTAAAAAGGTCATTTTTGGGCTCCACTTGTTGTCCACTGTGATCAGTGGAAAGCTTGTTCGGGCCTGGCCTTTTGTTTAGACTGCTTACAGGATACCTTGGTTACTTGAAGGCAAGGTCTCCCCTTTGAAAGCCACGCTGAAAAAGACCCTAGAGCAATAAATAAGCGAGTGTTATCAGGAGCTGCTTGGAGGAAGAGGATGCAGCTGTACGAACAGGACTCGCGGCTGAGACGGGCGCCCAGGCACTCCTGGAGCCTTTGAGCTGCTGGAAAACGGGAGGTGTGAGGTGGGGCCTCCCCTGAACCGTTTGTTTTCTCTCCGCCGTTTCATCCCCTGCGACCACGCAACGTGCCCTCTTTTACCTCTAAACCTTTCCTCTCAGCAGGAGTTCAAAACTGTCCAGTGACCCTTATCCATTTAAATCAATAGATTACAAAGTTGAACGCCACTAGAAAAATATCCATTTGTCAATAGGTTGCAACCGGAAACATTTCCTTTTCATCTCTCCAGACGTTTGTGAAATGCATAATAAACAGTTCTCTTTTTAAATCGAAAAGGAACTATTACTAACATCTTTTAAATGTGTATTTGGTAGCGCACGTTAGTTTGACAGGTTTGGCAGAAGCATCTGCAGGTTGAATAGAACCCTGCTGCCCTTACATTGAAGCAGAGCTCGAAATGTTTACACAAATGTTCTATTGTGTGGAATAATGTCAAAGATCTATAAAAAAAGTCTCCTTGTTTTTAACCTTTTCTCACAGGAAAGGACCTGTCCAGTCGCAGCAAAACAGACCTAGCTTGTATTTTTGGGAAGCGATCGAAACGAGAGACAAGAGACCAAGATGAGGTAAGCAGTGCAAGTTGATGACACATCCATTTTTTTTTTTTTTTTTGCCCAAAATTTGCTACAATAATATTCTGGGTTCAAGTTAATATAATAATGTTGATTACCAAAAAAAAAAATCAGTTTGTCCCTTCTTTTTCAACCACACACACATATATATATAAAACCATGAACTTAGGACTGGTGCTGGTGCTTTTTTGGGTCATTCAGTGTTCCTGTAAAAAAATTTAAGAAAAAAAACTAACAATAATACTGATAAGATATTATTATTATTATACGAATTCTACTAATAAGAACAATATAAAGCGCACCAAGGATTAACGAGCTTCTGGATTCATGAATATTAATCAGGTTGTGTGCATTTGCTCGAACTGATTTGTTGAAATCTAAACAGGGACAATAATAGGTGAGCACCAGCCAATGAGATTGTCGTTTGCGCATTAGTTCCGCCCACTACCAGAAAACCCAGCATTTCTTAAAAGCTGAAGAATTCCAAAGGAGCTCTGTTATTTTGACAGGAAAATACAACAAAGAATATCGTTTACATGTATCACATCAATTCTGCATATAGATGCCAAGTCCGCGTATTATACGCAAACTTTGGTCTTCTTTTTTGTAAAGTTTCGTGAAAAAATCCCAGGTCGCAGGTTGCGGTTTTTTGGGCTTATTTTAAAAAATATGGTTGCTTGTTAGGGAAATCTGAGGCTACCTTATAATGTATTAATTATCACGGGCTGTAATAAAAAAACAAGTAGTCCTATATTAATACTAAGAGGAAATATGGTTCGAATAGCCTATATTTTAGTAGGCTTTAAATATGTGGCTATGTTACAGCTCCCCTTAGAAGCTCTTGTGTTTTTCTAGTGAAACTGAAGCGCTCAGTCATAGAGTGTTGCGGCGAGTGAAAATATATCTGTGCTAAACTTATACTCAGCCTCCAACTCACACACTGGCGAGTAAAATCTGAGAATTTATTAGCCATTGGCTAATATTATACATCATTTAGTCGCCCAGAGTGAAGATTTAGTCGCATATGCGACTATAGCAAAATACTTGGTTAAGATGCGGTCACGTTTATTGTTGTTTGGTGAATTTTTGTGGCCAAAATCCAGTAATTTTAATAGAAATTTTCACGGATTTGCCACGTTAACCAACAAAAACGGTGACTTCTATGTGATCTTTTTGAAAACCATGGACAAGTTACTGTAAATTTTTGTGGTAACCAACATAACCAAGACACAAATGCTGTTTAACCCCTAATATTACTTTAAGATCCAAAATGAGCCTTTCCTCAATGTTAAGCTGACATTTGAAGTGTTACATAAATCTTGAGCGTAATATTGAGATGTAGCAAAGCTATTGCAGCAGATTGCATATCACCTTACGGTCCAGCCCACATGTAAGGACCGCTGACCTCTGCTTTCATGTGACCCGCTCGCAGCAAGTTTCAGGCTGATAATGAGCCGTGTCATAGCGTGCAATCTGACTCCACACATGAGTCACTGTAGGCAGGGATCCCGCTTAAATCCCCTTAAAAAATTTGCACCCTCTCTCTACTCTTTCACCCCTAGTCCTGTCAGGCACCTCTGTGGTCAAATCAGTGTATTTCTGATGATGTGCTAGTGGGCATGATCAAACTGCATTTCCCCATCATCTCCCAGGTACAGGAGGCAGTGATAGAAGTAAAAAACAGAATTACTGATGATCCCTTCAAACCCTGAAAACTTGGTTTGGAGAAGTTGGTTTGAAGGGATTATTTAGTGGAGTTTTGGCTTACACGGCTAGTTTGGATTCAGTTTGAAGGTGGCTCCCCCAGCCAATGTTGTGACTATAGTTCCTTTGTAAGTCCACCTTGAATTTGGCATTGTAATTTATTTCCACACCTATTATTTTGCATGCAGACCCATCTTTTACTTATTTTTTGTTGAGATGTAAATACTATACTGCAGTTTTGTGGTTTAGTTCTTAGTGAGATTTGTATTACCATAAGGAAATACCGGTGCTTGCAAGGCAGCAGAAGAATAGTTTTAGGTAAGCTTAGGTTTTAAGCTTTGGCTCGTAAATGAAATGCCACATCAGAGCTGCTTTGCTGTTGTCATGACACTCAGCATGTGCCTCGTTTCTTGGCTGCTGTGCAAAGACGGTGTTGTGTTATATGTTGAGTCTCATACAGCATAGAAATAACTGGTTATTTTGGTATTTTCGTATATCTACCACAACTGAGTGTGTGAATAAATGAAAGAAGACGAGTTGATGTGTCCATTTTCAATGCAAATATTCTAACAATATCAGTGGGGGATTTTCAGCTAGCATTTAATGTAAAATGTCTTTACAAAAAGCAAAAATAGATGGTAAGGCTAAATAGTTTGAATATTTCCCATACGATTACCAGGTCTAGACAATTTGTTGTAGAAAATTGTGGATAACAATAAGAAAAATAGTTCTGCCTTGCAGGAAGTTTAAATCAATTGATTCTTCAGTGTATAACTCATCAAACGGGTAATTGCCCACATTATTAATGTTTGTTTAGTTTTTAGTGATCTCGTTGCTAAGTGCCAGTGTGTATGGAATTACCAAATGATGAGCTGAGCAATTTTGCAACATGCTTATGGGATTTTTTATAAACTGAATAGATGAAATGGAGTTGGCTGGACTAATCAGCATTTTTATAGATTTTCCCCCCAGTAATATATTGGTTATAGGAAAAAATAAATTATTTTCTTTTGAACTTTCTATTTATTAAAAAGAATAAAGAAAAAAAAAGTTTTCAAAAAAATATTAACGCACATGTTTTTAGCATTTATTTTAATAAGAAATGTTTCTTGGACTAATGCTGCTGAAAAATCAGCTTTGCCATCACAGGAATAAATTATTTTAAAATATATTCAAATAGAATTTTAACCCCTTAACTGTCACTCACATTTTTGAACATAGACGTGAAAGTGCACGATCCAAACTTACATTTTTATAATTCATGAACGAAAACATTTTGTAACATGATATTGATGTACCATTTTCAAAACTCCGCATTTGAACAGTCAATAGCAAATACTTAAACTAATGACAATATTTCACAATATTACTGTTTTTACATGCAGCCTTGGTGAGAAAAAGAGACTTCTTTCAAAATAATAAAAAAAAAATCTGTTTTCAAAAGTAAATATTATTTTCTTTAAAGATTTTTATATTAAGTTATTAAAATTAGCTGATTTCACATTTTGCTTATGCTATTAAGTAGTATTTTTACTTATTGCTCACTGTCCACCCTCTTTAAAACCCATATTAATTAACATTCTGTATGTTTAGACAGCTGCAGTATGTGTGTCCACATATGGTGTCCATGTATCATCTAGTTTGTCACACAAATCCCAGTTTAATTTTCTTAACCTTTTCCTCTTGTTTGGCAGCGGTTTGTGGTTTTTGTGACATAGCAGTTCCATGTACATTTAATGTATGTGCTGCAGGTCTGAAGCCCCCGCAGAACCACCTCTTTACTGAGAAAGCGACACAATAGCAGCGGCTCATGCTTCGCCTGAATTTGGAAGTGCCGGCAGTGTGCTATATTTTTTTTTTCTTCAGCTAATCGTTTTGTTGCAGTTTGTTATTGTCTTGCTCTGGAGGGACTTCATTGACCGGATTGAAAACCAATCTGAACGGGCTCACAATGGTATCCCAGGAGGCCGTGTGGCAAAGGGCTGGTGGCGAACCCTGTAAACGAGGGGCAGTTAGGCCTGCATAGGAAGCCAATGAGGGGCGTTGTTTATGTGTGCATTGTGTGCTTGTGTGGTGATACGGCCACTGGAAGATTTTTACCTTGGTGCATACTGTAGATGCATCCTGGGTTCACAACGGGGCAACATGAAGAGCTGACGCTTTAAACGCTTTAGTCTGAGCAAGGAGGACAATTATAAACTTGTTCCATAGAGTTTTTGTGACCAAGCTTGTCATCAGTGTCACTTTCAGGTTTTTAGTACATTGCTCAGTTAGCGTTCATGTAAAGAGCCGATCTCACTGCTGCTGTGTCTTGGCCGCCCTCACTCCCACCTCTTGCACCAGGGGTTTTCCTCCTTTCTCTCAGAGCTTCCTGCCAGTCCCTTATCTCTTGTCACAGTGTTCTCTGACACACATGCATGCACATGGGAGGCCGTTCCAAGTTGCTCCTTATCTCATTACCCTGATTTAAGAAGCTGTTATGGAGCGGTGTTTATATTTTGCTGGCTTAGTAGTATTTAAAAAAAAAATTTCTAGTTACAAATTTTTTGATTTGTTTTGTTCACTGTGGTCCTGATTTGAATTTCTTAATTTGTTTCATAACTCATGATGATGGAAAAGTCACATCTCAACAATGGACTAACAAAAATGGAAAGTGACCAAATTGCTTCTCCATCTTTCTGTCAAAATCCAGTTGCAGCCTTTTTGCTTACATAAACACATGCTGAGTGTGAAATATTGTGATGGACAATAATGGAACACAGTGGTTCTCAACCTTTTTTTACTCAATGCCCCTCATTTTCAAAGACACATTTTTAAGGCCCACCCAAGATATTTCTTGCACTTCTGTTGTAATAACAAAGCTGCTCAATTTAATTTAATTTATTTCTTTATTTCATTTTAAACTAGGAATAATATTAAAATAATGAAATAAAATATTTAAAACAAATTCCATAAGTTCCAATAACTAAATGATCTTTACATTTGTTTTTTTTATTACTAATGAATTTAAATTCTAGTTGATTGTGATTAATAATTATAATAATAATATCTTATACTCACAAATAGCGCATTTCTCAGCAACTTTTACCTTAAATAATATTTAAGAGCTTCAGCTATCTAGAAAAATGTATATTAATTATAGAAGTTTTCAAGATTTTATTAATTTCCATGACTTTTCACCTTTAAAATTCCCTCATATATCCAGGTTTTCAAAGACAGTATGAATCCTAGTTCATAAATTAAAAATGAAAGTTGTTGAGGAAACAAATTAAAATAAGAAATACAGTACC